TCTTCTTCTTCTTCTTCTTCTTCTTCCTCTTCTTCTTCTTCCTCTTCCTCTTCCTTTTCCTCTTCCTCTTCTTCTTGTCTCTCCCTCTCCCCGTGCACAGAGAAAGACCATGTGCACACACAATGAGAAGACTCCCTCTGCAGACCAGGAAAAGATTCCTGACCAGAAACCAAACCTGCCCCACCTTCATCATGGATTTGGCTTCCCGAACCAGTAGAAAAGAAGCTCCTTGTGTTGACATTACCAACCTGTGAACCCTGTAGTGGTCTCAGGAGGGGACTAACACATCAGGGAAGTGCCTTCAGAACAGAGCTCAGAAAGTGAACCTTGGCCTGAGAGCTGGAAATTACCCAGCCTGGGGTCACCTATCCTATGCCCACTGTGTGTCACATGGTGTGTACCTGCATCTTCCAATGTGAGTTTCAACCCCTCAATGCATTTTGAAATCCATTCATTGGGTTAAGAGCAGCACTTTTAAAAGGAAATAGTGTTGTCGATACTAAAGCATGTTGAGCACAACAAGGGTGTGTGCTGCTTTTGCAAAAAATTTATATGACATTCACATACAGAGGCACCTCGGTTCATGGACTTCATTCTTTCCACAGTTCCAGTGACAAACTGAGCTGGGCAAGAACTGAATCAAAGCCAATGGTGAGTTTCAAGGTTGACTTGATGGGGAAATTTGATTCGGTTCTTGGGCAGCTCAGTTTGCAACCAGAACCAGGGAGGGAATTTAGTTTGTGAACTGAAGTAGCACTGTATGTGCTACACTACACACAGAGTATAGAGAGTAAATGTATATATATTCAGAGAGAGAGCAAGGGAGAGAGAAGAGCCTCTTAATCCATGGGACCTAGATATGTTTAGGAATCTAGAACTTTTAATTCTTTAAAAATATTTATCAAATGTTTATTTTAATGAACACATGACAATTGTATTTATCAAGTACAGTGTGATAGTTCAAGGCAATTTCTACATTACCACCTCAAACATTTCTCATTTCCTTGTGTTGAGAACATTCAAAATTTTTTCCTCTATGTTCTTTGATAGAGACAATTAAAAAGAATTTTCAATCTTTTAGAGAGAAAACCCACAGAACACATGGTATACTACTTGTTAATCATGACAGTCAAATGCATTAATGTACTGACAGAGAAACAAATGAATGTTGACCTTAAATGCAGTAAATAATGTAAAGTCTGTAAGTGGTCTCGGGTCAGCAGAGGGCAGTTACTGCCTGAGTCACCCAGAAACTGTGTGTGTACGGGATAGGAGGTAATGGAATTACAGGCAGGGGCCTGGGTACCATATATACTCCTATGTGCTGCTGAGACTTAATATAAAATATTTGCACTGTGTCCTTACAAGACACACATTACTCTTACTTCATAAACAAATTGAGACCCGGCCCAGAAAAGTGCTGTCCAAAGCCAGGAAGAGGAAAGCTCATCACTTATATCCAAGTTTAACTGGCCAATTTTTTATATCTCTTAGAAGATTTGTGTTTTTGAATTTTCCTATAACTTAAGAAATTTACTTTAGGATTTACTGGTTTGAGTTTTAAAACTATATAAATGTTTGAAGCTATGCACTACTGGGTAAAACTGTGATGAAAACAGGATCCTTGTGCTCTGAGCCTGGCAGTGGAGGGGATTGCTCAGGAGAGCGGGATGAGGTGTGGCTAGACTCTCCACTCTGACCCTTGTGATCTCAGGACAAGGACTGAGAGGCTGCCTCTGTGAAAGCACTGACTCCTCCTGGGGCCTGCACATGTCCAGCGGGAAACTACAGCAGGGTGGGCACTTCCTCATCGCTTTGGACAAGCCCCGCCTGCCCAGTGCTGAGACAACGGCCACCAGACCCCCTGACACAGGCCGTGTGACTGTGCACCCTGCAGGCCCCTTGTCTGTAGAATCCGGGGCTCAGCACAGCACCTCTGAGGCCGGGCTGACCACACAGGGCCTCGTGTCTTCCCTAGAGCTGCACCCGTCCAGGCTCCTTCCCTGCTTTCCACCATTACTTTTACCAGTTGGGGTTGAAAGGAGTAGCCGGCCCTGATTGGTCAGGAATCAGGCAGCTGGCCTGGGACTCTGGAGACAGTTTCTGCACGTGTCAGGAAACACACTTTCCGGTGGGATCCGGGCCCAGGCTGCCCACTGTTACACAAGGAAGGTTCATCGGGAGCCCAGCAGCCGCAGCCCTGCTCGGGTCCAGTCTTCCCCCTCCCTTGTCCTTCGCCATCGCTCCTGATGGCACAGTTTGCTCTCAGGGCTGGAGAAGAAGTGAGGAGAGACTTGGTTCTAGGTGTGGAGTGGAGGGAAGGAAACAGACTGAGGGAAGGAGGAGCTCGTTGGGGAGGAGCTTGTTTCCTTTCCCCTTAGATTTTCCTTTTGTGAGAGCTCATTGGAAGCAGCTCAGCGTGGAAGCAGTTGCACCTGGTGAGCAGGTGCCTGTCATGGCAGGACAGGACAGGACAGGTGCTGGACACAGCTCCATGGGTGAAGAAGGGCTTTGTGTGTGGGCAAAAAATGTAACGGAGTTCCAGAAAGGGAGAGACCCTTCTGGAGGGTCTCAAGGAGCTCACCCCACAATGTCTGAGGTTCACAATACCCTGCAGGACACTGTTCTCTGGTTATGGGGGAGGGAAGGGCTCCGGGTCACTTAGATGTGAGGTGGCAAAGGTCTCACTGGGCTCCAGTGCAGGGGCACTCTGGGTCGCTCCTCCTCCTGATCCACGAAGAGCAGTTGGGCCCCACAGCGCAGGACCTGGAGGAAACTGCCTCCTCGTGGGCAGTGCCCCAGGGTCAGTGCCTGGGACAGGTGGGAAGGGCCTCCCCAAGACAGTCCCAGGCTCACCTGCAGCCCTGACTAGGAGGAGGGTTGGGGAGGAAGTGAACACCTGGGCCCTGGCCCTGAGGAGAGGACTAAGATGGGAAACCCCAGGCTCTGGTGAGAAGACCCACAAGTCCCTCAGGGGGTCCTCTTTCCACCTCCAACTATTCTGCATAATGGCTCTGCCCAGGAGCTGCACCTTGGTGAGAGGGGAGGAGAAGAACCCCCAGAGAAGAGGAAGCCGAGTACCTGAGGAAGGTGTGCCAATCTTATTAATGGCAGTAGCCATGATGTCAGCGGCAGTGTCTCTGAAAGTTTTTTTTACAGCTCATCAAGGTGTCCAGGCTAGAGGGGAGGAGGAAGAAGATCATGAAATGCGGCAAAGGTTGTGAGAGTGAGATGCCAGGTTCCAGGTCTCCTAAGCTTCCCTCCAGGAAGGCAGTAAAGCTCAAAACAGATGTTGCCCAGGGTGTGTTCCGTCCCCCAGGCTCTGGGCTGCTATTTAAAGGAAGGCAGTCATCCTGCTCCAGCTCCCTCTGCTCTCACCCCTGCCAAGAAGAGGCCTCAAGTCCTGTAAGGGAACAGAGAGGGTGATGGGGTGAGGACACAGCCATGCAGAACCCATGAAACCTACACACAGAGGAGAGGTGGGAAGGCACACTGTACTAAGTACCTGGCTGGGAACACCCACGTTCGCTAATGATGTTGGTTGGCGTTCATTGAGGGTCTGCAGTGTGCAGCCTCCTTCTCTGCACCTCCTTCAGCACTCACATGCTTCATGGGGTGAGGACATCTATGACTCGTTTTAAAGCTGTGGGACCCATCAGGAAGGTCAGGTAACACGCCCAAGTATACACAGAGGTGCAGGGGCCAGGACTTGAACTCAGTACCCTCAAGTCCAAATCCCATGTTTTGAAGACTACACTTTACTCCCTAAAATACGCAACATATATACTCATGCATGAGTGTTTATTCTCAGTGATGCTTCTCATTCCAACTCTATATCTGGTCCCCTGTGCCCATGGCCCTGTCTTAGTAAACTCCCCTGTGCCCTGACGTGACTGAGGTCTTTCCTCCCTTGCTTCTGTACTGCTGCAGCTACCCACTGCTCTCTGCTTCCCTGCCCTGCATTTTGCAGCTTACATTTTTTTAAATCCTGTATAAGAACAGTGGTGCAGAGCATTGTCCTTGTGTAAATTTTGCCTCCATTATGTACCCTCATTCTGTGACACCCTGCACTATCTAAGGTGCCTCAATAAGGTCCTCCCTGACCTCCAGGAGAAGACAGCCTCATGCTCTTAGAATTCCTGGCTTGCATGAGCTAAATAATCCTCAACTTTATAAATGACCTGGTCTCAGGGATTTTATTATAGTCATGGACATACCTTCTGGGCTACAAAGTGACTATTATTTTGTTATCAAGAACAGCTTTACCTGGTTCTGGTCTCTTCCCTCCACAGATGAGGTTGCTGAGATACCCATAGATAGAGGCACCCCTCACTTTCCACAGCCACACATGATAGCCTCCTCCACCCACTTTTTTCCTGTGTCCAACCCTGTCTGACCCAAGACAGCCCAGCATTCTGAGGTCATGTGATGCTGGGACTGTGAGGTGAGCCAGAGGACGGGGCAGGCGGAAAGACCCGGGGTCTCGGTGACTCTAAGCATCATCATTGAGTCTGCACCTTGGGTCTCATCCTTCCTTCTCACTCACGGCCTCATGCTGACTCTTGTCTGGAGCCTCAGCCAGGTCCTTGTGAGGGACACAGTGAGCCAGGCACTGCGGCTGAGCCGGCCGGCTGCTCAGTTCCTGCAAAGGCTGTTGGTGTTATAACCTTGCGCCACATTGCTGTTTTGTATGCGCCTGAGTAGCCATAATAGATGGACTGTGCTATGCTGTGCTATGAAATTTCTCTTAGGTCGCTGTGGCTTGGCAATAGATAGGCTGTGCTATGGAATTCCTGTTAGGACGTTATGGCCTGACCGTTATATTACGATAATAAGCATGTTATGTTAAACCAAAACAGTGCTTCCTTTAAGGACATATTAAAAAACAGCCGTCCTTGTGTAACCAGGAAAAACAACACCTACCCAACTGACTTTGTTATACCAATCATATAAGAACACATTAACTTTTAACTTTTATTCCCCAATCTGACGCTGCAACTAGTAATCACCCCATCCCCGCCTCTTCGCGGTTTTTGTGCTTAAAAATAAAACGCATAGTCTATAAGGCACACATTCTCGGGGTCGACCCCAGGAGTCTGTGTCCGCCAGGCCTGGAAATAAAAGCCTTTGCCTCCCAAATTTGGGTCTTGGGGCTGGGGATTTAGCTCAGCGGCAAAGCGCCTGCCTGGCAAGCGCAAGGTCGTGAGTTCGGTTCCCGGTACCGGAGAAAAACCAAAAACCAAAAAAAAAAAAAAAAAAAAAAACAAAAAAACAAACAAATTTGGGTCTTGGCTTCCCGCGGGGTCCTAAAGACCACCACAGTTGGTAGAGGAGACAGGGGGCGCCTGGGATGAAGACTGAGTGGTGCCTGCCTGGCTCTGTTCTGCCACAGCCTCATCCCAGCAAGGAGCCCTCCCTTCCCTATCAGGTGTGTTCGGGTTCTCCAAGGCAACAGAACAGAGGTTCCATCCAGCATAGCCTCTTCCTCTCAGTGGTCAATACGGTCAACTCCCAAGAGTTACGACAGCGCACGACTCCTAAGGGATTTTTAATGAGCTGCGAAGGTCAGGTTCAAACCCTGAGCTCAGCACCCAGGCTCTGCTGAGTGCTGCAGTTCCTCCGTGCTCACCTCTCCCTGCCCACCGTGCACCTTCGTTCCAGGCCCTTCCTTGAGTACGATCTGCACATTGGACCTGAGACCTTTGCCTTTGCTGGGCTGCGCCCTCCTCTAGAAACACCTGCCCCACCCTCCCTCCACTCGAGGCCCAGCTCCTCCCCGCTGGTTGCCCCGAGCTTTCCCAGGTCCCCTGGAAACAGCAGACCTCTGCGTCCTTTTATCTGGACACCCAACGTAAGGGCACACTTGCAGAATAGCAGACTTGTAGGCGTATCGTAGCAAAAGTTAGAAATCAGTTCATAACCTGTGACTATGCTCATGCTGCCTGTCACGTAAATAGTCAGCCTTGGCTATCTGCTTCTCTTTGATAATGCGCTGGGCCAACTTGACTGTCAAGCTTGTGTTTTCCTTAGTTAGAAAAATCTGTTTTGTTTCCAAACTTGCTTGAAGAACTTCATGTGTAGGGCAGACTGGCCCAGTCAGGACCCATTTAACTCTGTTTGCTGCTCTCATACCCCCTCCCTTCCTTCCCAGAATGTTAAACAATTCTTTTTAAGTAAACCTACCTGCTGTCGGCTTTGTACTTCCCACCTGCAAACCCTATTTAAACTGAACTCAAACCTGACTCTGGGCTGGGGATTTGAGCTTCTGGGTTCCCCAGCCCACTAGAGCCATAAAAGTTACCTATGAACTCCTCAGTGCAAAGGGTCTTCATTTGGTTTGATACTTGCTTTTCTGCATCATGAGGAGACCAGGTTCACTCCAGCCAGGGCCCCATTGTCATCCTTGTTGCAGTCTCATTAAGACCCCTAAGACCAACCAGCGTGGCCTTTGTCCCCAGCCCCGCCTGCCCTACACACTCATTTGGAGGCACTCCTGGGACACGGAGCCCCAGCCTCTGAGGGCACAGCCCAGGTTCACTTCCCTCTCAGGGGCTAATGCCATTTGCCTTTTTCTTCTCTGTCCATGTTCAGCTCTTTCTAGCAGAGCACAACTAGGACTATGACTCACTTTGCACACACATTACACCAGTGATTTCAGGTCCTTTGGGTAGTTCTACCAGACTTCTGAGTTTCCAGCT